CTTCCCGAATCAGACTTAATATTGGATTGATAATTTTGACATAAACCATTTTTGGGAGTTAACCATCCAGCTCTTGCACCAGTTAGATATTTTTTATCAACTGGAGGAGTTACATAGGTATATTCTATTGGTGTAGAACGAGCATATATAATTGGAGGAGATGCGATAAAAGAAGGCGGTATTGAAGAGGAAGAACGTTGAGTAGAACTCGTTGAACGATGGTCAATAATTTCAAGCTCTATCTGATTAGTATTTTGGTTTCTGGAAGGACTGATTAAAATTAAAAGGGAATAATAATAATCTAGTTAATAATAATAATAATAATATAGTTGAGAAAATAAATGAATGAGATTTTATACCTGCAACAAATAAAACCAAGCATTTTTGTCCAGAGTTCACCATATTTTTCAGTAGCGAATTCGCCGGTTCCGAAGCATAATAAAAATAAAATCATACTTAAACACATATGTAAAGTAATTCCGTTTCTACTCCAAAAAGGAAAATCAAGTATACTGATATTATTATCATATATAACATAATGAATATTTTCTATAACTATTATTGTGGCCATGGGAATGCCAGAGATAATTAATAGGCAACACCATGAAGCCATACGAAGAAGGACATTACGTGGAATAGTGGGTTTTATGGAAGACGCAGTTTTTGGAGGTGGACCTGCACGCGTGCTGCGCTGCGGACTAGGGGAAGAGGAAATTTTGGATTGCCAAGGAAGTGCAAATGATTCATGAAGACGATAGGTACGGTAAACCTTTCTAACGACAGGAATTACAGTAATAACTTTAATTTGTAATATATATATATACATATATGTTAATGTTAACAAATAATAATAATTTAAAATTTAAAATATTATAATAAAAGTAGAATTACCGGATAAAACGCATGAGGGATAAATTGGTAAGAACTCGGGAACAGTTCTAATAAAAAATAAAAGAAGTCTATAATCGCTATGTCGAGAGACAGCACAAATGCCACTGGTATCGACCACCTCAAACAAAGGATTATGATGTATAGCCAATATTATTAAACTCAACGTTATGCTTATAATTGGCAGCACAACAGTCATAACAATATTAAGCCTCCGTATTTTGACATCATTTCTTTTTGCGACAAAGGAAGCAAGGCCTAAACAAACATATAGTTCTGTTGATAAAGCCAAAGCTACTCCATAATTTGACACGGAAGATAAAGATATTAAAAAGCCACTGATACCACACCAGGCATAACTAAAGGGAGTGGCAGTTGAGAGGCTAAAATCGTTTGGAAGAAATATGCCAGCAAGGACGAAGGCGATGGCCATTACAGAGTTAGAGATGCTATACCATATTAGAATTTGAGCGCGACGTTTAACTTGAACATAAATATTTTGCAAGCATAAAATCGAAATTATTATGCATGCGAAGAGCATGAAAGGTTCCATTTATTAATATAAATGTTAACGCGACAGGTTGGACGTGCCGACGTTATTTAATGATTAACATAAATAAAATTGGTTTAATAATAAATGAAAGATAGCGATATAAGGAAAACAATAAAAAAAAAAAAAAAAAAAAGGTTCCTTAAAAAAAAAATTCGAAAACGTTTATCCTTACGAAATCGTAAGACCAATTAGGGATTAATCATATACACAATAACGATAAAGAGCGGTATTAAAGACAATGGAGTGTATAATGAAACTTTGGTAGCGCGCCAAAATCAAAGTTCATAAGGTCCAACAAAAAAAATATGATCATTATAACAGAGAAATAAATAATTTAATCCATAAGAACTACGTACTAAGAAACATAAGTGACACGAATAATAAATAAATGCTGATAAGAGTATGTTATTATATATGATGATAAAGCAACCGTACATTTTAAGAAAATTGTGAAACATCAAAACCTAATTCAATTTAACTCCAAAATGAATGTTATATGCGTGATCGTGTTCCCGCCATCTTTAATTATGGTTGATTTGCGATACACAATAGTACAATATAAAGAAATCCAAGGATACAGATCTATTTTTAAGTCAGTTAATTTTCTGCAAGCCATGATATACAGAAAATATACTCACATAAAAAAGGGTTTATTCAAATCTAAAGTTCGATGTGGAAAAAAGTAGAAATCCAAATTAAACTCATTGTTCATGTTAAAAAAAAAACTTATTTTAAAAAAAAAGATTTTCTTTACTAAGGATGACCAAGCATTCAAGAATAACTTAAAAGTTTAGACTAGGAATTTTTTTGTGTTACACTTGCAATTGTTAAACTAGGCAGATAAGATTAGATCGTAAATTTAAGAGGTATGCAAAAGATAAGAAAATTCTGTTTTTTTCTTTTTTTTAAAAAAAAAAGAAAATTAGTTTATGATTATTTGATGTCATCATGCTGTTTTGAAAACATTTTAATTCAGTGCCAAGGAGGAAGTTTGACATTATCTTTGGATATATGCTAAATATTTGCAAATTTAAAAAATTTAAAGCATTGATCGAATAGATTTTATGATAGTTATCTTACAAATAATTCCAATAAATCGACCTATTAAAGGGAATTACCACTATCTCTCATATATCGATTTTGGGAATTGTTTGTCGTAATTAAACATATAGTTTTGCATAAAGTAGCAACCGTAAACTTACGTTTTTTCTGTCAATCTTATTTCGGCTGTACTTTGTGTACAATGATAGAGAATTATCCGTGTGGAATTTTGATAAGAATTGTTTCTAAATCAGTAAATATGCATAATGAAATGTTTAATAGTAACGATAATATTTGGACACTCATATGTTCAACAGTAGATCATTTTAATTATCTTGGATTAAATAATCATTGTTGAAGATTATATTTAACTCTTTATATTATTAATGGTAAGCTAATCTACATAATCTACATAAAATCTACATATAATCTACATATAATCTACATACCGATACGTAATATACATAAGATGTATATATTACAGAATTAGTAGTACGTAATAGATTTTATTTCATTTATTTTGGTAACTTAATTATCATTGTTGTTTATATATACTAATACTTCTAATTAACAGTTAACCTGAGCAATCTTAACAGAGCGACAGCGCATGTTTTTTTTTTATTAATTTTATTGGTATTATATACATACAGTATCTTGCGTATCTTACCGAGGGAATAAACACCACTTTTGTACACCACTCTTGTACATCATTTATGTACATCACTTAATTTTATTAGTGCTTTTTTTTCGGCTTTTCTTGGCAGTATATTTTATATATATCGATAAATCCCTTTGTTGGATTTTGACTGGTTGGTTGTGTTTATTTGTTAATTATGTAACTTATGCAAGTATATATTTCAACAAATGTAATAACAACATAAATGTAATTTTGATACTGATATTATACTGATATTATACTGTATGGTTATTGATGTGTACGTATGTACGTAGCGAGTATCTAAATAACAGTTTTATTTTACAGGTGATGTGTCCGTAAGATCACAGTATAGTACAGTCAAACCTCTCTATAGTCACCTCTCTATGGTCATATTTGCTTTATAATTACATAAATTGTTAAAATCAACTTATATAACACATAAAATTTAACCCCTATATAAGCACAAACTCTTTATATGCACCAAATTTTTCAAACCAAGGGTGTGATTATAGATAGGTTTGACTGTATATGAGAGAAAACCAGTAAATCTTATTAGATGAGGTTTGCGGGTTTTCTCTTAGCGGCACTCATATCATTTCATATAAAATATTACCGTTATTATGAAGCATATTTACTATGAATTTAAGCCCTGAAGGAGCCCACAACCAAATGCAGCTAATTACAAATAAATCACTTGAGCCCATTTGTTTCTAATTAAAGTAAACACGCACAACATTATTAAAAAGAAAAATAAATATAAATATAAAATATTATCAAGTATAATAAAATTTAAATTATTTAGATTACAATGATAACTTTATTATAGTGATAGTTTGGAACTATAATCTCATTATCTCCATGACAGTCACAATATGGGTGACGTCAATAGAACCAGCCCATTTTTATATATAAAACAATTTTTGTGTAAATCATGAAATCCATATAAAATTTTCAACTTAAAGTTCGTTTTTATTATATAATCAGCTTTCATAACTTAGAGCAAACCTTTTTATTGAATATATATCTATTCAAAAATCAAATAAAAAATTTTTGAAAAATTTGTAAAAATGGGTTGTTTCTATTGATGGCAGGCACCCCCATATAATCATTAGTTAATCACATGGAAAATTATTTGATGGTCATGATTCATATGCACAAAGAATCATCTGATACCTCCAGAAAGACAAACTTTTATCAATTCCGATTTTGTGAACTTATAGAATTCTAAACTGACCTCAAAAATCAAACTCAACTAGGTAATCATGGAGATATCTTCATTATTATCGTTACAGCTATTTGAAATTTTTGTGAGACACGAAATAATTTTGGTTCGATCAGCAAAAGTCCTGAAATTTCGGTAACTATCGAGATATTCAGTGAACCTGCAAGAAATACGTAAAGTTTGAGTTATAAAGGTGAAGCCTGAAACGCTGAAAAAATATAATTTTAAATTCATTAATTACTAATTTATCAAAAAATAATATTTTGCATATTATGGTTACGCTGATCTCCTGGAATAAAAATGTATAGTTGTAAGTGGGAACGGAATTTATAATTTTTAATAAAACTATATA